TGAGGGATTATAAAGTGATTCCATAGTTGATAATCAAGGACAAACTCCTTGGTTGGTTAAGGAATAGTATTTCTAGTGATTTGAACAAATGATATAGTATGACTTAGTTAGGGTGGAGGTAGTGATCTTATATTTTTTGGTGTAACAATCAAAGGATAGAAATAAAAGACTAGTGGCTGAGAATGGGTCATGGAAATTATTAAAAGAAATCCAAATGACAAGTTAAGGCAAGGAACACGCATATAATGGATGCCAACAGATTGTGAGAAAAGAAATATATTTCCAAGTAAAGACTCTAATTTGGGGTCTAAAAACCATGTAGAATATAATGATTAGTCATCCAAACAATTTCTCATTGCAGCAGCAAACTAAATAGATGTAAAGATAGTGAAAGTCTTAGTGCTTGATAAGATGGAATGTAATTACTTTCCTTTCCCAGAATGAGTGATTCCAACTTAGGTTTTGCAAGATACTAAAATCCCATTGATTTGATTTCCTTTGTCTTTCAAACTTTTATGTGGCTAGATCCAGATATTCAAAAGCACACTTCCAGCTAGAGTGTCTTGTAGCATTGTAGGAGGTAATTGATTTTATAATGTTTGTAATGGGATTTGTAGTTATATAGATGGCTTCTAGGATATGATAGTTTCCTACATGTCTATAGTTACTTCCTCAAACACAGTAATTGTTACTTTGATACTATTCCAACTTAATTTTTAAAAAACTATAAAGTGTTTGTTAATCGGAATTTATACATTAATGTGAAATACATTTCGTAAGGGTTAGGGCATTAAAGGCATTTTGCAAAGGGCAAGCTATGGCGCGAACAGAGCAGGAGCGCTGTGGATGCGTCACAGGTTTGTGGTCTCTCTTCCGACCAAAAAAGGCGCACAAGGGCGACAACAAGGTCCACCCGGAAGCCATGGACGCGGCGGCCTCGAAGCTGAAGGTCCAAGATCGTGTCTGTGAGGCTGTCTCGGGAGAAGCCATGGACGCGGCCGCCTTGAAGTTGAAGGAACTCAGGCACGAGGTGAAAATCGTCTTAGAAGCGATACGACAAGAGCGGCCGATCAAGCCGATCAAGCCGGAACAAGAGAAGGAGGACGAAGAGGAGAATCAAGAGAAGAAAGTGGAGCAGCTGAAGGAAGAGAAGAAAGCCGTGCAGGTGACCAAGGAGGAGAAAGAAGCCGATCAGATGAAGCCGATGAAGCTGGAACAAGAGGAGGAAAACGAAGCCGAGAAGCAGCTGAAGGAAGAGGAGCAAGGTCACAAGGAGCAGCCGCAGTTGGAACGAGAGGAGAAGAATCAGCCGAATCAGCCGATCAAGCAAATCAAGCCGATGAAGCAAGAGCAGGAACAGGAGGAGGAGCAGCGGATGAAGCCGATGAAGCAGCAGCTGGAACAAGAGGAGGAGCAGACGATCAAGCCGATCAAGCAGCCGCTGGAACGGGAAGACGATCAAGAGAAGATGAAGCAGCAGGAGAATGACAAGCCCAAGCAGGAGGAGCAGCGACCCAAGCCAATTCTACTGCCAGCTGGGGGTCGTCGTCCAGGTATGGCTCCTTTTGCTTCTTGCATTCTTCTTCTACTGTGACTCACGATGGCCTTCTGGACTTGCAGGTTCCAGGCCGAAGATGGTTCGCTTCTCTTCCTCAGCGGAGGACATTCTTCCCGACGGCACCCGACGGCGGAGTGAAACCCATCTTAGCGATGGCCGAGGGGGATATGTTGAGTTCACGTATCTCGAAGCTCTCCACAAGGCAAACCGATGGCTAAACCAGAGGGGAAAAACCGAGAAGAAGATCCGCAGCTTGGAAGGGGAAAAGCACGAGGAAACAGAAGAGGAGAAGTACGAGGAGAAGTCTTGGAGTGTTAGCGCGCTCCGGATTCTGATCAGACTCACCGAGCAGCTTTACGAGGAGCTCAACGGCAAATCTAGCGACCGAGAGAGGATCAAGCGAGCGCGGAAGATGATGAGGCTCCAGAAAATGCTGGATAGGATCCCGAGTGAGAGGAAACCGTGGAAGAAGCTTCAGTCCGGCGAGGTGGTCTTCGTGAAGGAGGCAAAAGAACTATATGATCGTGCGGGGAGAGATTTTGTTGCCGAATTCAAGAGGAGACAGGTAAGTTTGATATACCTTCCAGACTCCAGATGGCCGTTTGCTAATAACTTCCGTGTTTGTTGTAGAGAGCTAGAGTGAACGATGAGTGTTTGTTTTGTCAGAACCATGATGGCGAGAAGATGATTGGCCGGGCTGGAGTGAACTCTAAGGCGACTAGACCCTGGGTTTACCTGAGAAGAGAACACGAGCAAACTGTTCTAAGCACGTCGAAGAAACGAGAAATGAAGCTGGCTCCAAGCTCGAGAAGTTGGCTGCAAGGATTGGTCAATTGGAGGCCAGTGCTCGGACTCTAGCATCGGAGAAGCCAACTATCAAGAGTCAAATCCAGAAGATGGATCTCCAAGCAAGTTGAGCAGCACAGTAGGAGGCCACTAAAGCTATAGACCAGTTAAGTCGAGAGAAGATCGACCTTCTCGAGGACTCGACTCCAAAGATTTGCAGCTGTCCAAGACGTGAAAGCAGCGCGTGACGACCGTGTCTCGGGGCTCCAGGCGGAGACGTCCATCACACTTCAGGCGTCTAAACAGGCCAGCGACCAGCCTCCACACTCTTCTAAGTCAAGAGAAGATCAATGGATCAAGTTTGACTACACTCTACAGTGTCTGGAGCAAGGAGGGATCTATCTTATCAGCTTTCCAGTCGATGGAGATGAGACAGGAGATACTGCTGCGGTATAATGTTCACAGCTTGAAGGAATAGTAGCAAGGGAATGACTGCAACGAGATGGTGATAGCAAGAATATGATATAGCTGAAGCTGCTCGTGACGGTGGGGGTATTTGGATTCACAGAGAGGGCTGCAGAGACTATAAGACAGACTACGCTCGACGTTCTCTGTCATCTGGTAGAGCTCTCTAGTTGACGGAGACTTTGAAAACGGGTCAGGGCTGTCCAGGAATGCTCGTACAGCTGCTCGGATGAAAGTATCAGCAAAGAACTCAGTGTCAGATTGCTTCAAGGGAAATCAAATCCAAAAGTTGGAGCGGGAAAACTCGGAGCTGTGGCCAAATATGCAAGGAAGTCGAGAACCACAGTAGCAGGTCACTAAAGCGTCAAGTCTGAGCTAGAGACCAGTCTCCACAAAGTCGAGAGAAGATCAACGACTGGAATTGAAAGTTTCGGAGCTGTTCCAGATGGTGGCCGAGATGGAGAGTCGAAACCGGCGGTTGACGAGGCTCCAGGTGGAGCAGTCGGCTGGAAGTGCAGCAGAGTCCATCAAACTTCGGCATCTAAACAGGCTAGAGACCCGCCTCCACACTCTTCTAAGTCAAGAGAAGATCAATGGATCAAGTTGGGCTACACTCTACAGTGTCTGGAGCAAGGAGGGATCTATCTTATCGGCTTTCCAGTGGACGGAGATGATTCAGGAGCGCCTGCTGCGGTAAGGCTGTCCATGATAGTAGCGAGGAACGACGTAAACCAGTGTCAGATGGCTGCAAGATGGCGAGAAGACGATATAGCTGAAGCTGCTCGTGACTGGGGTTTCAGATGGCTGCGGAGACTATAAGACAGACTACGCTAGACGTTTTCTGTCATCTGGTGGAATGAGGGAAGTGTTCGGACAGGAGTTCTTGAAGGAGAAGCCCCAGGGGATAATGGCTGACGGAGTCGAATCCGCTGCACGAGGTGGAGCTCTCGGTGAGAGCACGTCGAGAACAGGATGGCGGAGTTTGGAAGCGCAAAGGCGAGGCTGGAGAAGCAAGTAACTCGCAGCTGATGGAGAGGATCACGGGACTCGAGGCGCTGGAGGAGAGTGAGACGTGCCAGATGCAAAGCAAAGCTTTGGTGAGGAGCTCTGAAGGATGAAGAAGACAAGCCGATGAGAGAGCACATGGAGCGCCAAGCTCCAGAGGTTTGATGGATCAGATGGACGCTACATGCGACAAGAAGGAGCATTTGGCTTTGCAGGAAGCTGTGTTTTTGCATGCTTCCGCTCAAGCTTCTCAGCACGATCAAGGCCTGAAGTGGCGGAAGCATTCCCTAACTATCAGAGGTTCTAAGCACGTTGAAGAAACGAGAATGGAAGTTTGAGAAGTAACCAGCTCTCGAGAGTCAAATCCAGAACAGAGGTGCAAGCCAAGTATACTGAAATCTCTGACAGCTCGAGTAGCACAGGGAAGCAGTAGCAAGCCTCCAAAGCGCCAGAGACCAGTCTCCACACTTCTAAGTCAAGAGAAGATCAACCTCTTCGAGGAGATATCCTCCCTCGACTCCAAAATTTCGTACATATCTTGATCGATCGGGAGATAGCAGATAATTTTGTCAAGATCTGGGCTTCTCAAGCGGAGCTCGCCGAGACGGTGGCCGAGATCGGAGCAGTCAGCCAGCCGAGTGGAGCAGAGTCCATCAAACGTTGGCGTGGGAACAGCGAGATGAAGGAGAAGATGAGATGCCAAGACAGATCAAAGACAAAGCTCTCTAGTTGACGGAAACGGGACGAGAGCTTCAAGCTGTCCAGGATCACTCTTACAGGTGCTTGGATGATAGAAGATGATGGCAAGATGATCTCGAACTCGAAGAAACTGCTTGTGGTGGTGGAGCCAGAGGTTCGGCTTGACAAAGACTGAAAAACGGCTGATGTTTGCCTCTGACATGCGGAGACTACAAGAGCTGGAGCGAACTCTAAGACGAAGCAACAGTCATAAAGACAGAAGATCGGACGAGTTTCATGGAACGTGGAAGCTGGTGCAAAGCGATTCAGAGGTTCAATGGCCACCTTTACAATCGAGCAATCTGGACTGAGGGTACGTAGAGTCATTCGTTTTTTCCTCTTCCATTCATTTCATCCGTATTGTTAAACAGAAGAAACAAGCTGCAGCGACACACAAATTGTGATGGTAGCTCCTTTAGTATCAGCAACAAATCCTATGGTATTTTTTTTGTTTTTTAATTTTCTCCTCTGGTGGAATATCTTCTGAGCTCCAACTTGGTCCAGATCGTAGGAGGCCGTCTCTTCGAGACTAAATAAATAAAACATCTCAGAGACTACGCTAAGGAGCTGCTTATTCTGGCCAACTTGTGAGTATAACCTTGAGAGATTATGTTTCTTTTCTATTTGGAAAATAGTCTGACTGCCAACTTGGTCCAGATCATAGGAGGCCGCCAGAAGAATATGTAAATGAGGGTGGAGCAGGACTTGAAGCAGCGAAAGATAAAACCAGTGTCAGAGATCATAAGAATCGAGCAAGTGGGAATGGAAAAGCGTAAGATGATTTTAAAACTTGGAGACAAAGGGAGCAGGCTGAAACAGCTAAGATCGAGCAGCAAAGATTGAGCAGCTTAAAGACGAAAAAATTTCTTAAACCAAGCAGGGGCAGCAGCTTGAAAAATCGAAGTTTTAAGTTCGCCCAGCAACAGCTTCAAAAAGCAAAGGGGAAGCAGCTAAAGAGCAGTGACAAGATTGATCGAGCAGAGCAGCAGAATAGTTGATAATTTTTTTCATATAATTTTCTTTGATTTAGCTGTAAAAATGATGATTTAATGTTCAAATTTATTTCAATCTCCAAAAGGTCCGAGATCCGAATTTGACCCTAGCTGATACCTAGAGCACGCTAGGGCTTGGCGGTGCGGCTGCTTGGCAAGGCATCCCCCGAAAAACTCGTGAACTTTACCATAGAGTATTTGTCGTGGATCTTCTTGTACGTTCGCAAGGATTCCTGATAAGTTTGTCCTCATAACTTGATAAGAAAATGGAAAAACAAACAGGAAAATAAGATTCTTACGTAGTTTGGATAGCGAAGGTGTTCGACTTTCTAACCCGAGAACACGACACCACGTTAGAGCAAGAACTCAGGAGCTAATATGTACGCACCTCCAGTTATTCCATATGGTATAAAGCCATTTGACTTGGTCTAGAAGGTCTGAAAAGGCTTGCCCCGTCAGGTTTTACCTCCTTCCAGACTGTCAAAGTTGTTAATGGGAAAAAACTAAATTTCTGCATGTCTCGAACAATAAAACTTGTAAGATTGCTGGACGTGAGCATCAAAGAAAGCTTCAAATCGTGAATGAGAGTACCCTCCACAAAGTCGAGCTGAGCAGACGAGAAGCCCTACATGTGGAGTCCCGGAAAAGTCTTGACAAAGCCTGGAGTAACAATTGGCGAGAGACTTGCCTTCACCTCTGCAATTTCTTGCACTTTTTTTGATAGATAGATCAGCATCTTTGCCGATCTGATAGATCAGATCGGCAACAATTTACCAGCCTCCACACACAAGCACTCTTTTAGATACTGTAGTAGAAACACTTGTCTTCATTTGGTTATTATAAATAAAAGTTCCTACTGATTGAATTGAACATTTTCCATATTTTAATTTGATTATTAATTTATTCCTTTTACTCTTTACATTAAGCCTTTGACATTTTTCTTTATTTAGTTTTTATGTTGCAAGCTTTTTTTTTTATGGGTTCTTAAAATCTATGAAATTAGTTCATAAAGAATAATACAATGTCTTACTACAAGAATGCTAATATTTCAAGCAATTGTTATTTGTAATAAAGTTTTATTACTTTCACTATTATATGTTTTTTGAGAAACTATTATATATTAATATATATTTAGTTACAGACACAATATAAAGGTATTCTTAAAACATAATACCAGACTGGTTTAGAACTACTAGATTTTTTACAATTGCATTAGCTGATGGTAATATATATTTTATCTAAAAAAATATTGAACTGATGATATTTGAAAATTCTCAACAACATACTTAAAAGAATTACAATTAAAGGTGGAAGAAAAGTGTCAACATTAATCAATAATATTATACCGATGGGGGCTTTGGTTTGTACTTAGGAACTGCTTGAAGGACTGATTCCACTTCGGTTTGTTCAACTTTGTTCGGTCCCACCTCAGTCCCCACCGAAGGGTCCACACCTCTTGCGCTGCTAGCATCTGCAAACTTTCATTTTTACTTCTGCTTCTTGTCACGTTTTATCTTGCATATGAGAGTCTCTAGTAAAGCATTGGTCTATGCCAATTGTCCTTCTAAAACGTCTAATCGAGCCTTGGATGACCAAACCTCACCATTAGACTCCTATTTAGAAGTTTCCTCACTGGAGTCCTTCTCATGCAAAAATTCTTCATCCATTGTTTTTTGTTGGACCAAAGGCTCTAGCTCTGAAGGATGTTTCGCCTCTACCTTAGTTCTTTTACGCCTTGCCTTTGCCTTCTCTCAGCAATCTGCTTTTATCCTTTACTAGAATTGAGGAAAGACTTTGATACCAAATTGTAAGACACAAATTTTTTCCTTTCCAATTTGCTAGTTTATTTTGTTTATTTGACCTCTACGACTTTAGCCTTCGTTAAGTTCCTGTGCCAAGGTTCCTGCCTATTGTACCAGCTTCTACTTGGTCCTACTTGGTTTTAGCAACTCACTACACAAGCAATTGAATGTTAGCCATCCATCCACGGATTCCCAAATTCCTTTCCAATCCCCCTCCTTGGGTTAAACTGGATTTAAGGTTCAGTTACACTCACACAAGCAGCCAAACACACCATGCCTCTAGATTCCTAATATCCCTTGGTACAATAAGGCTTTATCATAGGACCCTTTAAATCCTAAGCCTTGGGTGCAATATTTGCTCTGGGACATCAGGGGGAAACACTGTGGCCTAAAGGCTTGGTATAGGTACTTTTACTCCTCCACTTTCATCCTAAAAGGAAGGCCCAAGCCCCTAGGATGTGCAAAGACTAATGAGTCATAAGGTATTTAAATGGGGCACCACTCCACATGAGCCAGAAGCACCGCAATTGGTTTCCCTTTTGGGATTGAGAGCTGCTCTTGAGCACTTCCTTGGGTGGCCCCTCCGGCACCACCCGAGTCCATGTGTAAGCTCCTGGATTTGGACTTCCCGGGAGGTCACCTAGCCCAGTACTATTCAAACCCAAGGATGCTTAACCCCAAATATCCCAATACCCTTAACCGATTGGAAAACGGGGTGCACTCTTGTTCATGGGCCCTTTCCTTCTATATTTGAACCCCATGGATCGTCTCTCAAGTCATTCCCTTTAGTTGCTTACAATCTATCACGCTTCTCTGCAAGTTCACTGTAAGCGACTAAATTTTCCATTCTACTTTAGTCACTTAACCACACCTCTGACCACTTGGAGGAGTCTCATTCACTACCTCCATAAGTCCAATCCAGGACTTGGGACTTGCTAGCCCCGAGAATGGCATCCATGCCACTCAACACTTGCACTTGGTCCAAGTGCTCCACGTGTCCGATCCCATGACCGACACTCAAAGGTACCACCGACATAGCAGCCCGTTACGCTAAGGCCATGCCCAATCACCTTTGCCACACTGGTAGTCCAATACCACTTGCATCACCGTCTTGGCTCTCCAAGACTAGGCAAACCATCCGTGAGTGGTCATCTCAGATCCACTCCTTAGCATCCTTAGGATGCCCACCGACAAGGGGAATAGCCTTCCCCAATATCCCTCTGTCTGTCCCCACTAAGTCCCTTTCTGCCCCTGGCCGTGTTTGCCAACACTGCCACTGGATCGAGACCCACAGGCCCGACCACTAAGTCCCACAGTCCTCTGGGACTTCCTCACCACACAACTGTGTCCTTGGTCACTACCCCAGAGGACTGCTCCTCTTCCTTTCCACAGTCTGGGCTTTTGGGACAACATTTCGGAACACCGTGGCCTTACACGAGCCACCTGGGTACTCTCCTCGCCTTCTGCCCTTGGGTGCTCTAGCCATGGGCTTAGAGCGGGTTCCGTTGAGCCACACCAGGTATCCAAGTAGGTAGTGCCACCCACACTTGGACTGGGAGCATCGGCTAGTCGATCTCCCGGGGGAACTAGAGCCGGCTCTTGAACACTTCACCAAGCTACCGCTTGTCGGTCCGTGTTCACTTTAGTCTTGGACTTCCCAGTGGGCAGCTCATCACCCAACACTGGGTCCGGCCTTCCTGGGCCAAACTGGCCTTTCCTGGCCAAACTGGCTCCACTGCAGTCCTCCCCCTTACTATACTTTTGGAGCTCACCAAACCCCCCAGGGTCTGGGAGACGAACGCTTTGGGCTTTCACCCTCTCAGACTCGAACTCGGACTCGGACTCGGACTCGGACTCGGACTCGGACTCGGACTCGGACTCGGGCTCGGGCTCGGTCTAGACCTCGGCCTCGGTCTCGTTCTCGGTCCCGATCTCGGTCTCGGTCTCGGTCTAGGTCTTGGTCCTGGTCTCGGTCTCGACTTCGGACTCCATCTCGGACTCCATCTCGGACTCCATCTCAGACTCCATCTCGGACTCCATCTCGGACTCCATCTCGGGTCCATCTCGGACTCCATTTCGGGTCCATCTCGGACTCCATCTCGGGTCCATCTCGGACTCCATCTCGGGTCCATCTCGGACTCCATCTCGGACTCCATTTCGGGTCCATCTCGAGTCCACCTCGGACTCCATTTCGGGTCCATCTCGGACTCCATCTCGGGTCCATCTCGGACTCCATCTCGGACTCCATTTCGGGTCCATCTCGGGTCCACCTCGGACTCCATCTCGGGTCCATCTCGGACTCCACTTTGGACTCCAACTCGGGTCCATCTCGGACTCCACTTCGGACTCCAACTCGGGTCCATCTCGGACTCCACTTCGGACTCCAACTCGAGTCCATCTCGGACACTTCCACGTGTCATGTGTTGGTCCATTTGGGTCCCTTTTTGGAGCCTCACTTTTTGCTCGCTTCGTGCTCGTTCCTCGAGCACTTCTTTGGGAGTTCCACTCCCGCTCTTGACTTTTCAAGTCGGAGCTTTTGGTCCAAACGTGTTACGCTCGTTTGGCTCTCGCTTCAGCCACTACCACGTGGCACCCTTTCCGGCTCCACTTTGGGGCCTATGGATTTTGTGTCTCACATTCACACCCTCGTGAACGGAAGCTGAGAGCCATAGCTCTCCCAAGAGCCCCGCTCTCTTGACACCTTACCCCTTAGGTCGAGCCCAGCGGGAGTAAACTAGACCAGCCAGATGTCAATCAACATGTGGTGTGATTCCCCTAGCCAACCAACAGAGTCAGACCTGAGACCCCTCTGATACCAAATGTAAGCTCCTGGGTTTGGACTTCCCGGGAGCCCAGTACTATTCAAACCCAAGGACACTTAACCCCAAATATCCCAAGACCCTTAACCGATTGGAAAAGGGGGTGCACTCTTGTTCATAGGCCCTTTCCCTCTATATTTGAACCCTATGGATCGTCTCTCAAGTCGTTCCCTTTGGTTGTTTACACCATGCTTACTCCCACCCAAGGCTCTTAAGCTTCAGTCTCAACCTCAAGTCAATTTGAAAGCACTACTACAAAGTTCCTTCAAGATTTATTTCTAGACCTCATTATCCTTATTATACTTTTGGAACCCTCTACAG